GAGTTTGGATAAAAAATACCAAGAGAATTGAAGGAAACACGAAGAAATAAACGAATAATACGCACATTATCATTCACTTGAAATCTTGAATACCCCTGCGCAGTTCATAAATATGAATATATATTTATATATGATTTTATCAGCAAAACGGAACTTGACCTGGACTTTCTCGTTAAATGTCGCGATAACAAGGTATATTCAAAGTTTGTTAGATGGCGAAACCTGAAGTTGGCACGGAATAAATTACGGAATAAATATCATCGCAGCGTTCTAAAGGACGAAATAAAGGACAAGCACTCTCAACTTAAGGTAAGCAAGAACAGTTTTTCAGTCTCTGACGACGCTCTCATTAAGTCTACTACATGGTTACGTACCTTAGTAATTAAGCATCATGTTAGGACTACTGTAGATAAGGAAATGCGTAAGGTATCTTACCGCCATGTGCGTAAATTTAACAAACATCTACGTGAACATGCAATAATCAACGAAATGTGTAAGAACCCTAACCATATAATTACTAACTTAACTGGCGAAACATTATCTAAGGAAGAATAATCTGTCTTAACATTTGGTATCTGTAATGGATTAGCTACACGACCTAAGGACTCTGATATGTCTGTTTATGCTGAATCAATTTGGGAACAACTTAATAATTCTGATGTTCTACCTAAATCATTCATTAAACGTGAGAAAATTAAGAACTCAATTCGTGCAATGACATGTAACTTTCTTGACTTTGATAACCGAAATTTAAATTGTGATGCCATACGTATTAATACTTTAAAAATCTTACGTAATAAGTATGTAATTCTTAAACTTGATAAAGGAAATGGTGTTGCGATAATGAAGAAAACTGATTATATCACATCTATGACGAACTTGTTCTCTGATTTAACTAAGTTTAAGAAACTATCTAACTGTTCATTAACCACGCAGCTTAACTCCTTACAAGCCTACCTCCGGACACTATTTAATAGAAATGAACTGAAACTGAATACAAAGAAATTCGTCCAGTATCAACCATGCCTGCTAGAGCCCATGGACTACCTAAATTACATAAAGATTTTGATAATATTCCACCCCTAAGACCTATTATTGACACGACCGGTACATGTTATTATTCAGTAGCTAAGTTCTTATCAAACTTATTAGGCCCTCTAACGGTTAATGATTTTGTCCTTAAAGATTCTTTTGATGCTGCTGACCGCATGAAAGCTATACCAAACAACTTATTTA